GCAGTAAAAATATAGGATGATAAGAGATACTGTAGTATGAAAGTAGATACTGAGGTGCACCTTCTACCGCCGTAAAATATATCAATCGGTCATGCAGTATGTCGAAAATCATTTCAAACTTGTTGTTGTTGTTGTTGTTGTTGTTGTTGTTGTTGTTGTTGTTGTTGTTGTTGTTGTTGTTGTTGTTGTTGTTGTTGTTGTTGCTGATTATTCTGCGACATTCCCTGGGGAGTGCTAATCAAAAGGCTAATGCACCCCTATCGAGAGAGTTGCTTTATAGTCCAGAACACGTTTACAGAAAAAGCGAAAATTGAAACTGTCTCGGTAATCCAAGATTGGTAATTGCCTGCCGGTCAGTGATTTACCGCCACCTGTATTTCTCACGAGGGCCATGAAACCTGTTGATCTCTATATTTGCTCTACATTCAGATTGAAGCATTTAATCTCACGAATGAAGTTAATAATGCGAAGCTCGAGGATAGTGACTTAGATGAAGACTTTTTGGTAAGAAAGATGACTGCTTGACTTGTTGTTATTACTTCGGTCTCAGGGGCGGATCTGGCCTGATTTGTTAGAGGAGGGGGGGAGATTTTGTCAGAGGGGCAGAATTACTACGGGGGTCCGGGAGCATTCTCCCCCTGAAAATTTTGAAATTTGAAGCCCTGAAATGCTATTTCCTGCATTCTGAGCACTACGTAAACGTTTATTTGTTAAATTTGTCCTCACAGTACTTGTATTTCGGGCAACAATTAAGAAAAGTGCATGACCCACCGTATTGGTGCTTGAATATTTTCTCGCGTATTCGAAAATCGGTCGTTTCAATATAATAATTAAGTAGTATTCACGACTCAAATATAGAATACCATAGTTTTCTTCGAGGAGGTGCTGGACACCACTCGGAGTGGGGGAGGGGGGGTGCACTTATTATCACATGCACTAAATTAATTTAAAATTCAAGTCCATTTTGGGCAACAGCTGAAAAAAAATCAATAAATAAACAAAAATAAATAAATAAATATAATAAATTCTAAACTACTCCCTAGTAGTAATCGATCATATTTTGGCAAATTTATAATAAAAATTGTGAAAATATATGACGTAATTATGTTTTGTTCAAATATAGGAACTCGAAGTTGACGAGCCAGTCGACATTTTGCATGAGGAAACTAGGTAAATTTTTAATTGTTAATTTTTAGTTCTTTTCTATCACATGCGTGATTTTCTGTGTGCTATGTTTATTTGTAATGATTCATTCTTTGCATGGGCGGTGGTTGCAAGGCTTTTTGAACAGTTGATGAAATTTTACTGCTTACTTAAGTTTAATTTGGTTGCTTGATTGTCTATTATTTGGTTTTTGAGCAGTATAATTATTATACAGAACGTTCTTATTAATGGTATGGTGTGCTCTAGACCATTTTCTTTTCCCCACAAGAAAACTACACAATATTAGTTACATATGCTTACGGAGAGGCATGGATTTCATTGGGAAAGATTCTTGTCAAATACATGTAGGCCATGTAGTTTGGACGCAAGTATGAAATTTGAATATATTGTTTCACGTTATGTCAGATATAGTAGATAGAATGAATAGAATATACAGTATGCAGTAGTTTAAATTGATGGTTAATTCGCCTCCATTCTTTCAGTGAATTTGACCAGGAAATTACAACTGCATGTTGCAGCTGTGGGAAGCAGAAATCACAACGAGAAAAGGTTACCACACCAGGCCCCACCAATCACGAGTTTAAAGTCCCAAAGTCAATCAGGAAAACTAATCTGTCTTCTATGAAAACGAAAGAAAAAAAAGTGGAATTTGAAGAAGGTAATTCAAAATGGACAATACACTGCCTGGTTCGTATACCCCTTCAAAGTTCTAGAAAACCCTGGATTTTGTTTTAGTCCTGGGAACTCCTTGAAAAGTCCTGGAATTTTTAAACTTAAGGTGCCTCGATATACTAATTTATCCACACAAAATCCCTTATACAAAAATCGCGAAAACAAAACTTTAGCCTGCGTGCAGAAACGTTATGCATTATGAGCAAACCCACGTGACCATTCGTGTTCGCGGGGATATTAATGAGGGAAATGATTGACGTGGCGATTTGCTCACGCCATCTCGCGCCATTATTCGTGTTTCATAACACGTTGCATGTCAATTGCTGACGTCATTAGAAATGCCAATTTTTAAAAGAGTGCGCTATATCTCATTATTTTGTCCGGTGATCAATGTTGAATAGTGTATCGTACTGCTAAAGTCTTGCAATATACCAAAAATAAAGAAATTCTGCAGTAATGCCAAACTGATAAATTTAACGAAGAAAACGACATTTTTTGCGGGTTTTTTTTTTTTTTTTTTTTTAAATGTCATTATAATTTTTTT